AAGTCAATGGGACTAAACGGCTGTACCTTACATGCCAACTATACTCATAATTATATATATATATATATATGGAATGAGTTTGTTAATCTTTCTCATGTGCTCGAATTTGTACATACACACAACCACCAGTCATAAACCTAGGTAAATACATAGAAAAAATGGTTTTCGAAGAATCTCTTAATAAATTGATGTTGAAGTATCTTTCATTTCGTTTGAAGAGACGAGTGGAAGGGATTAATAAGTTGTCCTCCAAAATTCAGAGCTGCCCGAACACAGCCAAGATAGGACACCTGATAGACTGGTCTATAGCCAAACGCTCAGCCGGATATGAAGACTATACCAATAAGCGGAAAATTAGAGAATCTATATAAATAAACAAAATAGCCAACACTCTAAATAGAAGAAACGAGTGTATGAAATTAAGTGGAAACAATCTATGGATGTTGTACAGGATTGGAGAGAGAAAGAGAACAAGAAGTACCTCGGTGAGGCTGGTGCATAAGTGCTATCAAAGGCTTGAGGCAGAGTGTAGAACATAACGCCTTGAGTAGCACGGATACGGTTACAGTAATTAAGTGAAATCACTGAAACATGCAGATAAGGGAAGAATCCTACGGAGCAAGAGGGGGCTCTGATAGGAACCGAAGAGAGGATTGCGGATTGAACAGAAGCCTTGGATCAACATTCCCGGTACACTGGAAGGGATGTGGAAAGCGGCGGCGAGTGTGAATAAGTTTCAAATTGGTTGAAGTAAACAAGTCAGAAATTGTGATATTGAAGAGGCGATACGAGGATATATGATCGGTGAATAGCCCAGGAGAGAAGAGTAGATACCACAACTGTTTAGCGGACAATTGCTCAGAGCATCGACTTCACTTGTCTCTTTGATGAGGTGTAGTGTGGTGCTAAGAATGACAAGGCTCACTGACGATGCCGGCGACACGTCTGGAAATGTACCGCGTCCATGGTCCGACTCTGGAAATGATCATGCATACAGTCGACTCCACACAAGGTGCGTTCCTCTAGGTCTTCCTGCCAATATGACCAAGTTGCGAAAACAGGGTCAAATAACTTCTAAAAAAAGATAAGTATTGTAAGGTAGGATGCAGTTGTTAAGTCACAACTATATCCAGTTCACGCTTTCAATTGCAGCCACTTCACGTCATCCACAGCCATTTGACTTTTCAACAGCATGTATGAAAACATAGATTCTCCAACCAAATCATGCGACGTCTCATCAAGTGGACCTAGCCAAACTATAAAAAGTAGGCAGGATTACAGCCGCCACCTTTCTTGTCTTTATGCCAGGCGATCTGACGATGTCCGTCACATGACGGACCAAGGCTCAGCGAAGATTGATCGGGGTCGCAGTGTGGTTTGCCGAAGACCTACTCGAACAAAGCTACATCACAGCTCCAAGGCAATCCCTCTACAGCTTCCGGTGAGGCCAACTTACGAATCCCTTCCACTCGCCTCTTCCG